TGGGGATCTCCGACCTCGGGGACACACGCAGATTCGACGACCCTGGAGTAGATGGTAAATTGTACGCCTTGCAACTGAAAAGCAACATTTACAAACGCGTTGAAGTCCCCTCCGGTGGAGCCGGTGATATAGTAGATACCTCAAAAGCGGTCGTCAACACTCGGTACTCCCTAGTCAGCACCGGTGAAGATAAATTGAGAGTTTACCCATCGTTCGAGGGCAAACTGTTCGACATAGAAGATGTTGAGAGCACTACCGTCGCCCGAAACAAGCCATATACGCTCGTCTTCACCGACGATGACAAGTGGGTGTTGTTACTCGCTAAAGTCGACTGGTTTCTCAATATTAGGCTCGGCTCCCCCTACGTGTTCACGGAGAACAAAGAGAACTACCTCAACAAAGTCGTGAACAACGGAACCCGGCTCGTAGCTTACGTCCCGGCTCAGAGACGTAGCGTAGTCATCAGCCCAGCCGCCAGTATGGCAGCCCACGTACTATCGAGTAAACCGGGAGTGCAAAACGGGACATTGCAGTTGGTGTCTGAATTCGAAGGCGTGGTCAACATCCTGGAGAGTAATGTCTTTTAATATATCAAATGACCTTTGGCTGAACAATCACCACTCATGAAAGTGTTTTGATTATCATGCATAATGAGTTAGAGACACTTTTCCTTATCATGGGGGGTACTGCGGTATAGTGCTGGCATCTTCCACTAAGATGGATGTAAATGGATGTAAATATCACGCTCCCTTCACAATTCTACTGGAATTGACTACACTCCAGTGTGTTTCTGAACGGTAGAGTCCAGTGGAATATCTGCGTTCCCAGTGAATACTACGGAAATTTAGAAATATCAGTGTAATTCACATAAGCCTTGAACAGTAGTTGCTGAATAGCCCCAATTGTAAAAAATCTATTTCCCATAGAAATGTGTCCATTACCACTGAGAAATAAGCTTTCATGCTGATACTGTCTGTATACATTACTTCACTCATCAAAATATCACCCGTCAAAGCAGTTGCTGCAATGTGCCATTCCGTTCTAATCTCTCAAATCTCTCATGCATCAACTTATGCATCTCTAATGATCCACCGTCTCTTTCCAGGCATTTTCTCCCAGATCAAGTCTCAAAGGACTGATCCAATGGCCATGCTACTCGCACCTGTCAGTGAAGACAATACCACACAGGGATGGACATAACCCATTGCCCGACGTCCGAGTCCAGTGTTTCTTTTCTGTCGGGCAAGCAAATTTGTATATCAAACTGTACCGGTGTCCAGTTGACTTTCCAATGTAAATTATGTTGTTTATTTATAACATCAACAAGAAAATGGCCGGTATAGTGGACCAATTATCAGGGCAAGTGATTTTACATGTGCCACTGTACACTAGCAAGTTTAAAGTTATTTCCACCCCTGCCACAATCATTATTATCAGTACGATGGAGTTAAACATACCAGTTGATGTCCTTGTCAAAACGTCTGCAATTCGAACCCCTGTCCCTTGTTAAATTATACATTGCTAGTAAACTTAATTGTTGGTTAAACCTTACAATTACACGCTTGGCTTAATGGGACACCAACCTTATTGTCTGTGTTTCATAACACAATTACCACATAGCCACCTATATTGTTTGGCATCAATATTTACCCATGTTGTGTTACCACCTTTAAACTGTCACCTGAAAGCTATATTAGTCTCTATCAGAAGAATGGATATATACAGGTGTAGTTGAGCCATGCTGCCCTGGATGTATACATTCAAATTAAAGTAAGCCCTGACTAAATGTCAATGTTTCTCTAATGTGTGCATAATTTGATGTCAAGTTTAGTCAATATAAATGTAAAGGTTCACATACAGTCCCAAATTCTCCCTTCATTGGTCATGATCCTTGTAACACGTTTTTTCGGCCTGTCAGAAGAATGAATACATACGAAAGGGGTGACATGGTATAGGAGATTCGGTAGTTGAGGTTCGTTGGCTCACATAGTCGGAGATCTCTACTGATATTTTGGAATGACGCTCAGAGCGGCAAATTCACAAACCGTTAAAACTTTCAATATTTCTAAACGCCAAGCCTGTTTCCTTCGTTCTACCTAAATGGTTTTATCCCCGTGTTCGCCAAAATTTAGTAACTTTGAGCGCAGTGTTAATTCACATCTATATACCTCATGTCTACATACTGTTTGTAAGTTGTGTTTCAATAAAGTTCAATGATTAACTTCATCGTTTTGTCAACTTTTCACTAGGTCACATGTTCTACAGGATCCGTCGATCGTTAAGTCGAATTCCACATACGTTTATAAGCATTACGACCCTGACCGCTTGTTTGAGTGCCAAACGTGTTTAATATTTCTGTAGTGATGGCGTTCGTACACGTCAAGATATCACGAAAATACTGTACACAAAGGCGTCAACTTCTTCAATGGAGTCCTATTGCTTGGCTATACATTTCTTGTTTTCACAACGGATGTGATGTCAGCATAGTCCTGCATGCTTTCTGAGCTGTCGGTTCTGATTGATTTCTTCACATCTTCACTTTTGGCACACTTGATTGCTTTTAATGCATTCACGACAGCCTAGCATGTTGCAAGTACACGTCCTGAGACAATAACCAGACGTTTGGCACTTGCAACACGAACAAGAAGTTGGGACATATAGCTTCACTCAGAACATTTAATATCCGGGTTTTAGTAGATGTTTGAGCGCAACACAGCGTTTTAGTGTACATCAACCAGTACATTTACGAACTACTGTAACCTAAGCAGATGATGGATTGCTATCTCCGTACACATTCCACAAGGAGTGAGAGCGAAGACATTGACAAATATTTCTCATCAGTCACCATGGGAAATGGCAAACTTGAGTGGATGGTTGATGGCCTGTTTTTAGTCATCTCAGGCCATTTTTCTTCATCAGATCATATGAAGTGAACATAACGAAGGTTGTTGCGTTTATTAGTGTTAGTTATAAGAAATAATGGGGTTTTAGTATTCGACAACACCCGCCATCGAGTGTCAACGGAGGACGATGTTACACAGACATTCAGTGTGCATCATCAGGGCTGCATAGGTGCATATTTTCCATCTATTCACCATCAAATTCAACACAAAAAAGCTCTATTTATACACATTTGTGACCACGTTACGCCAGTACTACCTTAAATATATGTAGGCTAAGTAACTGTTACTTAAAGCCATGTTTCATTTGCTATTTTCACTAAACTATGCTCATGCTGTTGATCACTAGATTGTCTGGTCCAGACTCGATTATTTACAGACCGCCTCCATATGGCTAAACTATTGCTGACTGCGGCGTAAAACTAAACTCACTCACTCACTGAGATATGCAGTCACAGACTGACCACATAGGAGATGGAACCACTCTTCCTTTGCGTAGAGCCTCTATTCAACGGACGCTGGTTGGCATCCGGCTTCCGTGACTCTCTAACACCACAGTCATCTTTGAGTAAAAGTACAAGCATACACTTGAACACATGATAAAAATTACACAGGACAGATGGAGTATATTTTCTGAAGCCACCTTTGTCATATCGGCTCCTTCCTTCACAAGTAATTTAAACACTTCGATATTGCTCCTCTGTGCTACCCACATCAGCTGCTTTTCCCCATTCCTCAAATATCTGTTGATGTCCACGATTGAAAGGTTTAGGGCATACTTCACTATCTCAACATCTCCACCTTCCCAGGCATCGCTTGGAGCATCCTTGATAATCTCCAGGGTATACGTTCCGATAAATCTCCACTATACCATGGTTGCATCTACGGCTCGAGCCGATGATTTTATTACCTCCGTTTCCTGGCACTACATTCCCACAGTAGCCAATCAGATAAGTCGCTGTTATAACTGATCGCGAGCTTGCCTGTGTCAACAAAGATAGCGGTCGCAGCGGCGAAGGTTTGTTTGAAGTGCGACTCAGAATTGTGGGGAAAACATACAGACAAATTGACAGGTCTGAAATCTTTAAAAAATATATGCAAGAACTCCTTCTACCTCTTTCAGAGTACCTCTGCAACAATATATTATTATGTTGCCAAGTTTAATCGGTTAGATAATTTAAAAAAGCGAAAGAGAGTTGTGATTGGTACTATCAACTTCCCAGCGTAGACAGCTGATTGGATATATAGCCAACCAGGGGAGGTAATAAAATCATCGGCTCGAGCCGTAGATGCCCCCAGGGTATAGTGGAGATTTATCGGAACGTATACCCTGGAGATTATCTAGGATGCGCTTAGAGTTAAAACTTGGCATTTGGTTTAAATCCGAGTTTGAAAATGAATGAAATCTAAAGATAACACGTGGGCATATGGGCACGTTGGCACTTTAGTATGTTGGATTGAGGGCACGTGGGTGGATGGATATGTGGGTAGCGTGAGCATGCGGGTGGATGGCTATGTGGGTGGTGGGGTGGGTAGAGTGGGTATGTTGTATAAAAGTGAACATGTGTATGTGTGTGGGGAGGGGGTGGGGGTTAGGATGTGGGGTGTTAGACGGGTAGACCATGTGACACAGGACCCTGTGTACAGTGCACACCTCCCATTTCATGTGTTGTATTCCATACTACCAGTATATGTTTCGTGCTCACATAGGAGCCGTGAAGATCTGAGGTAGAATAGGTCTTCAGCAACCCAGTCTTGCCACAAAAGGCGACTATGCTTGTCGTAAGAGGCGACTAACGGGATCGGGTGATCAGGCTCGCTGACTTGGTTGACACATGTCATCGGTTCCCAATTGCGTAGATCGATGGTCATGCTGTTGATCACTGGAATGTCTGGTCCAGACTCAATTATTTACAGACCGCCGCCATATAGCTGGAATATTGCTGAGTGCGGAGTAAAACTCAACTCACTCACTCACTCATGCTCACATAGAGTAGCTGGATGAGATGGGGGTGTAATCCTCACTCGGCTTTGAGTTTCAGGACATTGAACCAAACCAGACTAATTTATTTTAACATGTTTTATTTACAAAAGGCACGTCGGCAAAGAGCATGGTAACATAAAAAATGAAAGTCACTGATGTGAATATGGTTCTGTACATGTACGTCACAGCGTCCATGGTCACGCATTTCCTTCGAGTACATTAACACTTTTCCGTCAGGAATCTCTGCCGCAGCTTCGAATTCCACTCTGAAAAAATATAACACTTTGAAAATGTGCCATTGATGATCTGACAGTTTGCATTCATTATGTCGTTAAAATGAATAGAATGAAAACCCGTAATCTAGACAACAGCTTTCAATATTTATGAAATACACAATGCCATTTTTGAACGTGGTCAAATGTAACATATGTTATATTTGGGATTACACTTTCTTAGTAAGGTACAGATTCTAGTACCGGGATTCGAACCCACACCTTCAGAGTTAGGCACCTAATCACCAGCACACAAAGTCAGACGCCTAACCCGCTCAGCTACCGTCGCTTCCACAAAAATGGAAGTCGGACAACTGGTAGTCTAGACTGCGGACTTTGTGTACCCCTCTGATAAGTGTTAATTGGCACGGCTCCCACGGCCGAAAGCTATGAAATACACAATGCCATTGTAGAAAGTGGTCAAATGTAACAATATTTCAATATTACGGTTTCCGATTTAAAAGTTATCCAGATTAACGAATCATAATCCTTCGGGAATATAAGACGTTACTCATAGTGATGGTCCTAAAGGTGAAAATGCCGGATTAATCAGAATGCGGTCATTTCGGATTAAAGAGGTTGCACTATATATATTGTCAGATATCAATATTGGGTTATTAACATTATCATTGACGTACCCTCAAGATGGATCCAACAAATCCAGAGAATCCTTGACTGGTGCAGTCTCCACTCCCGATCTGTAGAGCGCCGTTCTTCCGGGGGATTGTAGCTGCGATAAACATATTGCATGTGATAAAATTATTGCAGGTTAATAATATTGCCATTTCTAAGATGCCTAGCGGTTAGAACAATCGAAAAAAAAATACATTATCAGACAATAAAGGTATAGCTTTTTGATGACGTAACAATTGAATGACGTTATCCCGTCACTGCGCCATTCTAGTGTGCCCCCTCGTAATCGAACCATTTTACATTACGTCACAATGTAAGCGACGTCACGATGCATGTCAGTTGTCATCGCCTCGTACGGCCTCCTACAGTAAACTACACCGTTGCATCCAGTTTCTTGGTTTGCTGTTGCTTCACGCAGCTAACATCACTGGTGGAAACATTACGTTTATGTTTTACGACAGTTAAAATGTGTCATTTCGACTCACAAGTTTTCAGCGACACGGTAACGTTCGTAATGTTTACATTCCCACAATGCAATTGTGGAATGTCGCTTGACTACTCAACTTCTTCTGGATGTACTGATCTAAACTTAAGCTGGTAGTAGAAATGCAACGTCCATATTGCCCCATATGGTTTACGTTAATGACAGATGTAATTAGAATAATTCAGAGAAGATATTTAATCCGAACGTAAACCGTCATCAAGCTGTTATCATTTGTATTTTTCTGGTAACGTTCGTCTTAACGTAGGGGGCAGACACATCAATAGAACAGCGCGCCAGTTAGCCCTGTGCGAGGATTCTTAATTTAGGTAACCGACACCGTCGTTTGTTTTCGGCCTTAAAATAATCGTAATTATCTTTAGAAAGCATTAAATTTGGCATCTTAAAAAAGAAATACAGTTCGCCCTACCACCATGTATAGTGTAATAAAACACACTTTCGCCCTGAACTATTATAACGTTAAAGCACTCGGACGCAAGCGTCCTCGTGCTTTAACTATAATAGTTCAGGGCAAAAGTGAGTTTTACACACTATACATGGTGGTAGAGCGAAGTGTATTTCTTAAATATTATTCTGTCATCTTGTAGAGTTGAGTCCTTTTTGCATATATACTCATGCCAATAATGGTTGTTACGACCATCCCCATCCCAACCCCACACACACCTCACGCCCCCACCCCACACCCACACCCCACACCCCCTCTCCAATTAAAAAAATTGAAGGGGGTGACAACCATTATTGGCATGAGTATAATAATCCTAGATCGAGGGTTCACATTCACGGTCTGGCAACATTTTTAAATAGTTCTATCAGTACCAGTTCCAGTACTGTTCCCAGGGCTGCCAAAAGTTTAATATTTAAGATATAATATCTTTAATATCCTTAAGCCCTTTAGCAATTTATATCTATACCACAAAGATATCAGACATGGCGTCTGTAAGGGTTGGCTAAAGGCATTGATACTTGCAAACATTCATCCAACAATCAGATTGTCAATCATCGGTTACATAAGCAATCGGGGCGGTGGGGTAGCCTAGTGGTTAAAGTGTTAGTTCGTCACGCCCAAGCCCCGGGTTCGATTCCCTACATGGGTAAAAACCCCTTTCTTGTGTGTCACACCGCGATATTCTTGGAATGTTGCAAAAAGCGGCGAAAAGCTAAAAATCTCATTCACTCACTCTTCCGAAATAGTATTGTCAAAACAGGATTCTGAATTATTCAGATTAAAGGTCCGAACCAAGGGTGTGAGTTTGAGGCAAAGGCCTTGGGTGTTTAGGGTAGTAAACATGTACTAAAGTGTTGGGCCGACCGTGTTTTATATACTCAGCCAATCATATATCAGCATGTTAACACTGGATACACATATGAATCATACTCACTTGTGGCAGGCATGACGTCCGTGACGGAGGTGAGAGAAATGTCGGTGTCGTCGTCGAACAGGGTGTAGGAGTAGGTGCTGCTGTTGCTGCGAGATGGGTACATGACTTCAACTCTCACTGTGGTGGTTTTCTGTAAATCAGCAAAACATTTCTTAAATACTTATAATATTCATATTATTATTGATAATATATTTTATAGAACTCAATCTGGATACTAAAAGATTGACATTTAACATCCGATTTTACATTACTATCTAACATCCTGTAAACATCACTTACATCGACGGTCAGGGTTGAGTTGATCTCAACGACAGAGTTGCCAGTTTGAAGGGTGAAGGTCACGTCCATGATAGAGGCGTTGCCAGGGACGTCGTTGACGTACAGCATGAAGGAAGGTCCGTTCTCGCCACATTTGCCGTTCTGGAGGACAATCTGGTCGTTGATGGGGGAGGAAGGGTTGACAGAGAAGACAGTGTCGATTTCCAGATTGGAGCCATAGGTGACCCCAGCCAGAGCGAAAACAACCAGACTGCTGGAACCGGAAAACACCGGTTGGTTGCCAAGGGCGACGTTGTTGACCTGGATCCAGGCGTTGTTGGTGGAGTTGTCGACGAATGCGGTGGTGACGTTGTCGTAGTAGATGTCAGCCTTCATGGGACACACTGAAACACATATGAAAATGTTATAAATTTATTATGGCCAAGGGCAGCCGAATAAAAAAAAAGCAACGCAAAACGTTGCACGTGCATGTGACGAAGGCTGTTTGATAATCTGATTGGAGACTTACATTGAGACGAAGGAACGCCGACGACGTCGTGGCAGCCGCAAGTGACGTTGTTGAAGTTGGTTCCAAGGGGACAGTCCCTCCTGATGAGACCAAACCCTGGAACTGTCTCCATGTAGAACTCAGGTCCGTCGTTGGAGGGGGCGAACTCACATGGATCTGTTTGGTGGAAAAAAAATGCGATAAGATCAGGGCACGTGTATAATCTGACTTTACCTGCTGTGTATAGTACTGTCACAATACCTGCAGTATTATTTGCCAAGGCAGGTGTATATATAGAAATGTAAACTTACCTGCAGTGTAATTAGCCTTGGCAGGAGGACAGGTGTATATGTATTTGATGTAAACATATTTATTCAAGAGAATGGATTGGGTACAAGTTATGCCAACTTAGTGAAACACTCTCCTATTTACAGTGCTTACATGCAAAAGTGAAACAAACTATATGTACAGGGATAGAAAGATATATACAAAATGATATATACAATACAATGAATACATGAATTATTTAGATCATACACATTATATCCAATCACTGAACCTTTTGGAATTTGATATATATTTTTGAACTTCTTTAAACATGTGAATATTGTCACTATACGGAAGATCTGCACTGCAAATTAATAGTACGTCTAGGTTTGTTGGTGCTTTAATGTTACAAATGTTAGAAATGTAAACTTACCTGCAGTGTAATTAGCCAAGACAGGTGTATGTAAATGTTAAATTCCCTGCAGTGTATTTAGCCAATACAGGTGTATAGAAATGTAAACTTACCTGCAGTGTAATTAGCCAAGAGAGGTAAACATAAATATGTGAACTTACCTGCAGTGTAATTAGCCTCGGCAGGAGGACAGGTGTCAGCACATGACCCACTGACACACCCCACTCCATCGACGAAGGTGTTGTTGTCAGGGCAACACATGGCACGTGGCACCCCACCCTGACACTGCCAGTAGGAATTGCACAAGAGGGGGTAGGGCAGCTCGGCACCGTTACTCAGTCCAGTACACTTATCTGGAAGACATGACATCATCATGAAAAACAGTGTGATATCAACTTTCTGGTGCAGTTGAAGATCATCTGTATACAATTCTATGTTTTGTTACAACAGTAACAATGGGATTGTAGGTTATCTCAAAATGCTTTAATGTGTGTTTTTATTTTTAGAAATTAGGCATTATCCATTGATACAATTCACTATCCATTTAAACCAAAATTATTTTTTATAAGGCTGTGCACTTGCTTCAACTTGCACCCATCAGATGCTGTTCTGTTGAACTTACTGCAGTTGCCGTTCGCCGGTCTCACACACGTCTTGACTACGTCATTCCACACTGTTCCGTAGCCACAATACTGCACCTTGGGTACTGTGACGTCACACTGGACAAAGCGACTGCAGTCCCCCTGGCAGTGCAAGGAACCGGATCCCGAGAAGGTAGTCCAGCATGCTGCATATAGCTGAAGGTCAAGGACGTCAAATATATTGTTACAGGTGATGACTCTGTCGAATTTTAATATCCTTCATGTTATGCTCTATTTGCTGGCATTCTGCACTGGCATAATAGGCAATAACTTAGAAATAGACCTTTACGTAATATATTGAGGGTGATCAGGAATATACGATGATACTTACTGGTACAGGTGGCGCCATCTCCCTGATACCCGGGATCACACACACAGGTAGAGTTGGCGCAGTTGGCGTTGACGCCGCAGTCGGTGCTGTTCATGCAGGGTAAAGCTGACAGCAGAAATGACAAAGTCAGAGACAGAACAATAGAACATTTGACAACATTCGTTGACTGTTCGGGATTTGGTTTCTTATCTTTCACCATCGGAACATACTGTCAGACATGTTTTCGATAAATGGTTACAATAGTTTGTAATCCTGAAAATGACAAGTCTGTGGATGGTCGTTTTAGTTGGAGGTTACACTTTATTATCAGTGTTCCAACAGACCAAGGCCTGCTTGCACAAAGCGATCTAACCGCAACGACCATCTTAAGGCCATGTTTGAGTTTGGGTGAGTGAGTGAGTAAGTGAATGAGTTTAGTTTTACGCCGCGTTTAGCAATATTCCAGTAACATCACGACGGGGAACACCAGAAATGGGCTTCACACATTGTACCCATGTGGGAATCTAACCCGGGTGACGAGAGAACGCTTTAACCACTGGACTACCCCGTTTGGGAGTTACCATCATCGTAGTAATAACGAAGAATATCAAATTGAATAAAACCAGAACCTACCTTCTGACTGCATGACCATGACAACAACCAGAACTGCTGCTACACCACACGACTTCTCCAACATCATGTTGATTGGGATAACTTGATTTCTGGCAAAATAGTCATGGGTTCCTTTTGAGCTAGTTTCTCTAATTAATAAACTGGTTTGACCTATGCAGTATAATTTATACAATGTCTGTAGCATTTAATATTATCATTACGCTTTGAATGTCCCTAAAGATCCGAGTTAGAATTAATTTTAAGCAGTCCATGCTTGTCGTAAGAGGTGACTAACGGCATCGGATGGTCAGGCTCACTGACTTGGTTGACACACGTCATCGTATCCCAATTGCACAGGTCGATGTTCATGCTGTTGATCACTGGTTTGTCTGGTCCAGACTCGATTATTTACAGACCGCCGCCATATAGCTGGAATATTGCTGAGTGCGGCGTTAAACAACAAACAAACAAACATTGTGCCCATGAGCAAACGGAAATTATGTACCGACAATATATATTCACACTTTGTCTTTCTCGATATTAGTATTACATTTAACACGTGATACCTACCTGTAAGGTATATAGACCTGGAGCTGGGATAACTTGACTTCCACAGAGTGTTTTAGAGGAATGGTGTCGAGACAGTGTACATCCATGTTTATATACTGTATAAGGATGATCATCTGGCGTTATCGGGCAATCTTTTATCTTTCAGCAATGACTGCCCCGGGTGATCGGAAAACAAGTGTTGTCCTGAGAACGCTGCACGACGGGTTGATGATCTGCTGAAGCGGGTGTAGTCGCTGGGGGCGGTGTTGATGTTGATCATGTTGTGGAGGTTACCAGATGATATGGAGTTATTAGCTGCATGTGCAACGCTTATCAGATTGGTATCGGTATAAGTTAGTGATTCCTTACGTAAACCCTTATCATATCGACGTCACCTTATTAAGTGTATAAGGATACGTAATATGATAACGGCAGTGTGGGAATGTACAAGTCACGTCAAGGTTCATTTGAGTTTTGGGCTGTGTTGAGCTTTTCATGTTTTCTTTTTCTGAAAATTAGTTCAAAGACCCTGAAACCTTTTCCTAAAACTCATAATTTAAATTGGAATGACCTCTATTTATAATTTAAACAGCACATGTCGCTTTCAATATTATCACTATGCTTTGGAATAAACGGATATTACGTACAATACAAATTCTAATTTAACTCAAGTATTGTAGTGTGCCTGCCCAAGGACGAAAAGTGGCCCACGACAATACGTGAACCATTCGAGAAAATATCTTCTTTTATCCAAACCTCATATTTTGGAGGTTGTAGATGAATGAAAGTATGTTTATAAGTATCATGACACAAAATTCAACTCATTTTAACTTAATGCAGCTAATGTAGGGATCATATTTCGCCCATGGGCGAAGATAGCTACTTTTGTTTAAAATTCATGTTTTCGAATGAGTGAGTGAGTGAGTTTGGTTTTACGCCGCTTTTAGCAATATTCCAACAATATCACGGCGGGGGACACCAGAAATTAGCTTCACACATTGTACCCATGTTGGGAATCGAACCCGGGTCTTCGCCGTGACGAGCGAACGCTTTAACCATCAGGCTACAGCCACCCCACAACACCCCCCCCCCCCCCCCCATGAGGTTGTAAATGAATGCATGTATGCTTATAAGTATCACGACACGAAATTCAACTTATTTTAACTTAATTCGGCTAATTCAGAGCCCATGGGTGAGAATATCTACTCAAAATTTATGTTATATTATACCTGGACACTACTCACACTGTCTAGCCTCTTGTTCCATCTCCATTGTGTTTTATTTGAATGTAAAAATGATTATTGACACATTGTTGCAAGTACAAATTGTCGAAATGTAAGTGAGACTTCAGTCGCAGATTCATTTTATCATTAATCCCATTTGCAGTCATGTGTATATTCCATACATCATACATTCGGAGCATCTAACCATTGACCAAAAAAAGGAGTAGCGAGCTTTATATTGTGTCGGATTTAGTTCTGGGGAGTTGACGCTGTTTTGAGGATACAAACAGAACTTCATTGTTGCATAAGAAATTTATTTAAGCATTTGCTGAGTACTAAAGTTAAAACTGTATATACCTATTTACCTAAGTAAAGTTTTAGATTTTTCTAGCAATGGCAATTTGGGGTTAATTTAGTTTACGGATTCAAATAAATCAAACGGGTGTGTCTAATATCATAATATCAAAAGACAACACATTATTACATGAATACATATCGAGCTAGACACGCACAAATAGGATCCTGTTCAATCACTCATCTACACTTCTGGCATACTTTATTATAATCAGACTACCGGGGAAATTTACAAATAACGGTATTTATTGTAGGAAACAAGTTATAGGAAAAACAGTCATGGAAAAAAAGCCATAGATTTGGGTAGGCAAATAGGTTATAGGAAAAAAGTCATAGATCTGAGTAGGAAAATAAGTTATAGGAAAAAAGTAATAAACTAAAAAAACGTCAGTATTTATAATATATTGATTCAACAATTCATAACAATATTATCAATAGCACTACATAATGTCTCTGAACCACATTTGAACCTAACTTATTAAATGAATGTATTTATTCAAGCATAATACATGACATGATGAAATGAACAGATCACAACGCTATCATCTGCAATACTTCAGCAGGTTCAACAAACAATCATATGACTCGTGACCTTTAATCCCATCATCCTTTTAGAACTAAATAACTTATAATATGTTCATTTCTTCTGTTTTGATAGATCCAGTTGCTTAGAGCATCACACTGAAAGGAATACTTAATTTGAAAGTGAAATAGTTTTTTTTTATGAATAACTGTAGAACAGGACGTTTTATAACAGTGGTTGTTGACTTTTTTTAAATAACTGGAGAATAGGATGTTTTTATTACTGAAGATTATTTCCTGAAGATGAAAGTGAAATGTTATTTATAAAATACAGTATAAACACAGTGAATAACTGTAGAACATGATGTTTTCCCATGACCTTTTTCCTAAGACTTTTTTTCCATGATTTTTTTTCCTATGACTTTTTTTCCATGATCTTTTTTCCTATGACTTTTTCCGATCACCATCTGATGTAGTGCCACAATGACAGGTCTGTCAACGCGGAAAGCTAGTCACGGCGGGTAGCTAGTCATAGTCTAGTCACGGCCGGGGAAGCAGGGACTATGCACCTAGCTGGCAGCTAGACGACATAATTAGATTGTCTAACACGAAACATGAATCTCTCTAGATCAGTGCCCCTTTCGGGGAAATGTATGCCTTGATCAGATGCTGACGGTCAACCCAAGTCAGCAGTAAGCGACTTTAGCTGAGAGCCTTGCATTTCACTGAATACAACACTGGTAACTACCATCAGTGTTTTATGTCTAGTTCTAAAGTTGAAAGGTTAAACACATTTGAAACCCGTGACCATCCGGGTTACAACTGATCTTCAGCAACCCATGCATGTCGTAAGAGGCGACTGACGGGATCGGGTAGTCAGGCTCGCTGACTTGGTTGACACATGTCATCGTATCCAAATTGCATTGATCGATGCTCATGATGTTAATCACTGGATTGTCAGTATCGATTACTTTCAGACCGCGCCATAAAGCTGGGATAGCCAGAGATATTGCTGAGTGCGGCGTAAAACAACAAACAAACAAAACGTTCAACAATATCATAAATCTGCAGTTAAGGGAGACAACCCTACCTTGACCATTTATGTAAGTATTTTATGAGTGCTTTTCACAATGTGGTTGTTCAATCACATGACAAGATAATCTCATACAGTTCGTTCATGACAGATTCTCTCTAGTCAAACATCAAAGATAAATATACTGAGTCAAAAAAGAAACTTCACATTCTTTCTTCAGGGCACTATAAAAGAACAAGAGATGGTAAGATTGTTAAATTGTTATTATTTCATTGCTGAGATCTGTGTGATGTATTCGATACACTGACAGTGCCATAATCAGTTCCATTAGGCTACACCGCCGTTCCAAAACATGGGTATACAGAATGTCAAGTCACAAGAATACAAATGCGAAATCTCTCAGTTCAATATCTTGTTTTCTTTTCCGAGATGACTGTAAAGTAGCAACAACGTGACACGCTTGACGCTCCAGCTCTGCCTGATCTTCCTGACTGGCCAAAACCTGTTGACAAAGAAAAAGAACATGAAAGTGAAGAGTGAATGAGTGCGTTTAGTTTTACGCCGCTTTTAGCAATATTCCAGCAATATCACGGCAGGGGACACCAGAAATGAGTTTCACACAGTGTGCCCACGTGGGGTATCGAACCCTGGTCTTCGGTGTGACGGGCGAACGCTTTACCTACATTAACATAGTCATGCATTCCCGTGCATACATTATCGGATCAACCGGATCAACCAAAAGGGGTGTCTGGCGACCTTTACTATACTACTAACCACTAGGCTACCCCGCCGTCCCTGAAATTAAAGAGGCTGATATGGCTGTTATGTTTAGTGATTCATGTCCTTGATTATACAGCATGTTCAGGAACTAACTATGATACAGATGATCTGCAGGGTGGTGTCTTTGTTTTAGCAGACCGCCTCCGAAGTGTAGTGGTTAGAGCGTCCGCCCAGAGAGCGGACGGTCGCGGGTTCGATCCCCGGCCGCGTCATACCAGAAGACGTTAAAATATGGAACTTGTTGGTCCCTGCCTGGCGCCCGGCAATAATTGGTACAACAATATTATACAGTATTTTCGACCTCATATATGACATTGTTCCGACACGAAGGGCATCACTGAAAGGATGTCACGTGGACAAACTTGTGTTTATAAAAAAGAACTTAAAACTCTTAAGCTTAATGGCGAAACCACGGCAGTGGGCATTTGTACTTAATACACTTTACTGTAGTTTCAAGGATTAAATAAGTTTCACTTGGTGTCAGACATTTTATGTTGCTTCGGACACAATGGTGTACATATCGTATCGGCTCCCATGTATCGTATTATATCGTCTCTCACTTCATTGGCCAGTAAACCCACGAAGATCCCGGTTAGAACTGATCTTCAGTAACCCAAGCTTGTCGTGAGAGGCGACTAACGGGATCGGGTGGTCAGGCTTGACTTGGTTGACACATGTCATCGGTTCCCAGTTGTGTAGATCGAAGCACATGATGTTGATCACTACATTGTCTGGTCCAGGCTAGATTATTTACTGACCGCCGCCATATAGCTGTAATGTTGCTGAGAGCGGCGTTCAACACCAAACAAAAGCTAATCGCACAGGAGCGGGTGTTAGTGGAGCTAACACGAGTTACTTCCCTTTGCCCATGTCGCGTAAACATCGCCAGTGCTCTTCAACGACATCAAGTAGAGAGTAGATCCCCTTCTCCCTGGTAGGGAACTTGGTCACAGTGTGAGTGGAGTCTTTGTGACTTTTGCGACGGAAACTTTGCGATATGTCACAGAGTCTTTGTGATTTTAGCATCATCAAGGGAAGGGTAGGATACCGTAAATAACATGTATACCTACAAAATGAATATTACAAGAGAGTTGAATTCACATTTACTTAATTAGGTTTCCATGAGTAACAAATAAATATTAATATGTTCAGAAAGCCACTGATAATCATGTAAAACAATTAATTGTCACGAAATTAATCCTTTTTAATAATAACAATAGGTATATTGTGACAAATGACCTCATAAAGAAGTGTAAAAATAATACAGTGTGTTCCGGTTAGTGTTTATCCCCTATCATCATAGAGCATGTGCTGTTTTATCAGCGAAAAAAAGCGTACATGTCAATTTCCATGCATTGGTGTATTGTCACAGAAACTTTGTGATTGAGAAATTGATGTAACTGACAATTCACTCATTGTCACAGGTAATTCCCAATCACAAAATGGAGTAGACGGGGCATGATTCGTCCAATCCCTTCCATTGCTGATGCTAAAATCAGAAAGACTTTGACATATCGCAAAGTGTCCGTCTCAAAAATCACAAAGACTCCACTCACTGTGACCAAGTTGCCAACCAGTGCTTCTGTATGACGGAAGTCTGTACGTGACGGGTTCGAACCAGACAATCCGGGGATTAACACTATGAGCGTTTTACTGAGAATGTTTACAATATTACACCAATATATATGCTTGCATAGTTTGAAAAGTTGACCAAGTTTGTTTTCATACAAATGAGGTCATCGAGCGACGGCAACGTAATGGAAGTATGTTATGCAATATGTTTGTCATTTCTTCTAGCAAGAATTATCTTAAAACTTATTTTTTTTCGATATAATATGAGATGTATTCTTGTATTTCACCAAACACTGAGGAAGAACTTATCATGTTTGTGTTTCTACAGGTTTTGAATAACACTCGATTATCAGGGTTATCCTGGGCAGACTGTATATAGTGAGTGAGTGAGTTTAGTTTTACGCCGCTTTTAGCAATATTCCAACAATACCACGGAGGGGCACCGCCCATGAGCAGACTGTTAGTCTGACCAATCAAGTAACAGTTATCTTGTTGCCATATTTGGCATGGGGGCCGTATTTTGTGTTCGGGTTAGAATTGATCTTCAGCACCCCATGCTTGTGGGAAGAGGCTACTAACGGGATCGGGTGGTCAGGTTTGCTGACTTGGTTGACACATGTCATCGTATCCCAATTGCGTAGATCATGTTCATCCTGTTGATCACTGCATTGTCTGGTCCAGACTCGATTATTTACAGACCGCCGCCATATAGCTTGAATATTGCTGAGTGCGGCGTTAAACAACCAACCAACCCAGTTCCGCGTCAGCCACGTTTGTTCAATGCTCATGGGATAACAGCTGCTTTCAAGGTCAGCATCCCTCAGTGTACCTCAACTCCGTTCTGTCAGGCATATGACTGGCATACTGCTGCAGATGTCGCTGCTTAGACTAGCTATCGCCCCAACGAGACGATATGCATTCTTTTCATCCCCCAAACGGACACGTGTACAGTTACCTAGACTAAGGCTTAGTCTCTGAATATATATAATTTTGATAGTAACATACAAGCCCATTTATATTGAAAAGGAGCCCTAGGGAGACCAGAGATTTGAGGAAATCTAGACTTGCTTTATTTAGGCCTTTAGCACTGCAGAGAGGGCTTGGCAGTAGGGAAAATAATGTGGTTCAGGGACTGTGAGACAGACTAACAGTTACCCTGAGCTCATCATTATCTGCAAATCGTCAACATGTCCGTATACCGGTAAATTTAACGAAAGCTGTGAAATGCGTGACCTGGTTTCGGGACTGACGAGACAGCGCGTGACCTGTCTTCTGTGGGGCTTTCCCGGTATTTCACCCACAGTTACAGCACACGTTTCACGTTTCTCGCTTTCTCTCCCGTATTGCCATGACGTCACTGTCGGCACTTTCCTTAACCAATCAAAACACACGGCTCTTGTTGGGCCCCCTAGCTCACTAAGCAAAACACTCGTTTCGACAATGGACGATTCTGAAATGGGTAAACAGTGATTTACGAAGTTGACATCGTATCTGGATCCATGGAAGGTGTACTTTGGAATTAACAAGGTAAAGCTTGTTATGATACTGTAACCGTTATTGGATTGCTATGTAAGAATGATCACTGTATGTTACATTTATGACCCACGCGTGATCGGACGGTGTGTGTAAACAGCGAGAGTTTATGACCTGTTCTAATCCATTGGGAATGTGTGAAGCCCATTTCTGGTGTCCACCGCCGTGTTATTGCTGGAATATTGCTAAAAGCGGCGTAAAACCATACTCACTCACTAATCCATTGGGCATACGCCTATACTTTAGAATCATGCGGTTATTAATCAGTTGTTAATTGCCGCTAATATGCCGAATTAATTGAACTCAGTTTCTCTCGGGCCAATGCGCGGCTCTCAAGTCATAGCGCGTAGATTCAACCTGGTTTCCTGGGTATGCTGCGCTTGAGCTTCACGTGTGTAATCAGTATTGTTCAAACTCGGCGGAAAATATGTTGCCAATCGTTCCCCTAACTTAACGCGGGCCTTTCCCTCGCGGATATTTGGTACATGTACGTGACAATATAACACAATGTCATTTTTGCCAGTATCAGTATATTTACGAGAAATAGAGACTCCGTAACGAAAGCGTATCTAGAGCTGATCTGCAGCCTAGACAGCCTAGGTTAAAAGCTCGTTGACTTCGTTCATGCATGTCGCCGTTTGCCAATTGGGTTACTCGATGCTGATAATGTTGAAACTAAATTGTCTGGTCTGGACAAGGTGCTGTATATATATAGGGTGAACAGTGTAGAGTGAACGTTAAACAAACTATCAAATATAGGCATGTTCACAAAGGTGACATTAACTTTCCGGGTTGTGTCCCACACTTGGGTACTTGGACCTACAAGCATAACGTACCTGCGACGTTGACATTGATTTGCCGTATATGACAAAGGCACATTAACATGGAAATAGCTAAGCCTGTTACCTTATCAAGTTACATGTTGTATCGATTTCCTGAATAGCCGAGTATATATGCTCCTGTGTACTGTAGTACTGATGCAATACCTAGTGAGTACGTTCTTGATAACCAGAAACTGAAATATACACATTCGAGACTGAAAGTGACAGTCTTCGATATGTTAACCACAATTATTTTATCTATAGGGCGACTCCCACCTGATACACAATGCGAAATATCTACTGTACTGTGACTAGCCTAAACAAGATTGCCGATCGTGTACTCTCTCTCTCTCTCTCTCTCTCTCTCTCTCTCTCTCTCTCTCTCTCTCTCTCTCTCTCTCTCTCTCTCTCTCTCTCTCTCTCTCTCTCTCTCTCTCTCTCTCTCTCTCTCTCTCTCTCTCTCTCTCTCTCTCTCCTGGATGAAATGTTATGTTAATGTCACACATGCGCGCGCATATATATATACTAACACGATATCGAATTACACGATTGCTTAGACGAGACCATTTAAACATGAATATGTATGTCGAGGCACGCAACCACTCAGTGAGGTCCTGTATAACACTGAGGCTAATTTGCAATACTGTTTAATACTGAGACTACAGTGAGGTCTTGTATTATACTGAGATTACAGTATAATACTGAGGCTACTGTATAATACTGAGACTACTGTATAATACTGAGACTACTGTATAATACTGAGATTACAGTATAATACTGAGGCTACTGTATAATACTGAGACTACTGTATAATACTGAGACTACTGTATAATACTGAGACTACTGTATAATACTGAGATTACAGTATAATACTGAGGCTACTGTATAATACTGAGACTACTGTATAATACCGAGACTACTGTATAATACTGAGACTACTGTATAATACTGAGACTACTGTATAATACTGAGACTACTGTATAATACTGAGACTACTGTATAATACTGAGGCTACTGTATAATACTGAGACTACTGTATAATACTGAGATTACAGTATAATACTGAGGCTACTGTATAATACTGAGACTACTGTATAATACTGAGACTACTGTATAATACTGAGGCTACTGTATAATACTGAGACTACTGTATAATACTGAGATTACAGTATAATACTGAGGCTACTGTATAATACTGAGACTACTGTATAATACTGAGACTACTGTATAATACTGAGACTACTGTATAATACTGAGACTACTGTATAATACTGAGGCTACTGTATAATACTGAGACTACTGTATAATACTGAGGCTACTGTGTAGTACTGTTTAATACTGAGACTACAGTGAGGTCCTGTATAATACTGAGACTACTGTATAATACTGAGGCTACTGTGTAGTACTGTTTAATACTTAGACTACAGTGAGGTCCTGTATAATACTGAGACTACTGTATAATACTGAGGCTACTGTGTAGTACTGTTTAATACTGAGACTACAGTGAGGTCCTGTATAATACTTAGATTACTGTGTAATACTGAGACTACTGTATAATACTGAGACTACTGTTTAATACTGAGACTACTGTATAATACTGAGACTACTGTATAATACTGAGATTACAGTATAATACTGAGGCTACTGTATAATACTGAGACTACTGTATAATACTGAGACTACTGTATAATACTGAGACTACTGTATAATACTGAGACTACTGTATAATACTGAGGCTACTGTATAATACTGAGACTACTGTATAATACTGAGATTACAGTATAATACTGAGGCTACTGTATAATACTGAGACTACTGTATAATACTGAGACTACTGTATAATACTGAGGCTACTGTATAATACTGAGACTACTGTATAATACTGAGATTACAGTATAATACTGAGGCTACTGTATAATACTGAGACTACTGTATAATACTGAGACTACTGTATAATACTGAGACTACTGTATAATACTGAGACTACTGTATAATACTGAGGCTACTGTATAATACTGAGACTACTGTATAATACTGAGGCTACTGTGTAGTACTGTTTAATACTGAGACTACAGTGAGGTCCTGTATAATACTGAGACTACTGTATAATACTGAGGCTACTGTGTAGTACTGTTTAATACTTAGACTACAGTGAGGTCCTGTATAATACTGAGACTACTGTATAATACTGAGGCTACTGTGTAGTACTGTTTAATACTGAGACTACAGTGAGGTCCTGTATAATACTTAGAGTACTGTGTAATACTGAGACTACTGTATAATACTGAGGCTACTGTGTAGTACTGTTTAACACTTAGACTACAGTGAGGTCCTGTATAATACTGAGACTACTGTATAATACTGAGGCTACTGTGTAGTACTGTTTAATACTGAGACTACAGTGAGGTCCTGTATAATACTTAGATTACTGTATAATACTGAGACTACTGTATAATACTGAGGCTACTGTGTAGTACTGTTTAATACTGAGACTACTGTATAATACTGAGACTACTGTATAATACTGAGACTACTGTGTAGTACTGTTTAATACTGAGACTACAGTGAGGTCCTGTATAATACTGAGACTACTGTATAATACTGAGACTGCTGTATAATACTGAGGCTACTGTGTAGTACTGTTTAATACTGAGACTACAGTGAGGTCCTGTATAATACTTAGATTACTGTATAATACTGAGACTACTGTATAATACTGAGACTACTGTGTAGTACTGTTTAATACTGAGACTACAGTGAGGTCCTGTATAATACTGAGACTACTGTATAATACTGAGACTACTGTATAATACTGAGGCTACTGTATAATACTGAGACTACTGTGTAGTACTGTTTAATACTGAGACTACAGTGAGGTCCTGTATAATACTGAGACTACTGTATAATACTGAGACTACTGTATAATACTGAGACTACTGTATAATACTGAGACTTCTGGGTAGTACTGTTTAATACTGAGACTACAGTGAGGTCCTGTATAATACTGAGACTACTGTATAATACTGAGGCTACTGTATAATACTGAGGCTACTGTGTAGTACTGTTTAATACTGAGACTACAGTGAGGTCCTGTATAATACTGAAACTACTGTATAATACTGAGACTACTGTATAATACTGAGGCTACTGTGTAGTACTGTTTAATACTGAGACTACAGTGAGGTCCTGTATAATACTTAGATTACTGTATAATACTGAGACTACTGTATAATGCTGAGGCTACTGTGTAGTACTGTTTAATACTGAGACTACTGTATAATACTGAGGCTACTGTGTAGTACTGTTTAATACTGAGACTACAGTGAGGTCCTGTATAATACTGAGACTACTGTATAATACTGAGACTACTGTGTAGTACTGTTTAATACTGAGACTACAGTGAGGTCCTGTATAATACTGAGACTACTGTATAATACTGAGACTACTGTATAATACTGAGGCTACTGTGTAGTACTGTTTAATACTTAGACTACAGTGAGGTCCTGTATAATACTGAGACTACTGTATAATACTGAGACTACTGTGTAGTACTGTTTAATACTGAGACTACAGTGAGGTCCTGTATAATACTGAGACTACTGTATAATACTGAGACTACTGTATAATACTGAGGCTACTGTGTAGTACTGTTTAATACTGAGACTACAGTGAGGTCCTGTATAATACTTAGATTACTGTATAATACTGAGACTACTGTATAATACTGAGACTACTGTGTAGTACTGTTTAATACTGAGACTACAGTGAGGTCCTGTATAATACTTAGATTACTGTATAATACTGAGACTACTGTATAATACTGAGACTACTGTGTAGTACTGTTTAATACTGAGACTACAGTGAGGTCCTGTATATTTACTGAGACTACTGTATAATACTGAGACTACTGTATAATACTGAGGCTACTGTGTAGTACTGTTTAATACTGAGACTACAGTGAGGTCCTGTATAATACTGAGACTACTGTATAATACTGAGACTACTGTATAATACTGAGGCTACTGTGTATACTGTTTAATACTGAGACTACAGTGAGGTCCTGTATAATACTTAGATTACTGTATAATACTGAGACTACTGTATAATACTGAGGCTACTGTGTAGTACTGTTTAATACTGAGACTACTGTATAATACTGAGGCTACTGTGTAGTACTGTTTAATACTGAGACTACAGTGAGGTCCTGTATAATACTTAGATTACTGTTTAATACTGAGACTACTGTATAATACTGAGGCTACTGTGTAGTACTGTTTAATACTTAGACTACAGTGAGGTCCTGTATAATACTGAGACTACTGTATAATACTGAGACTACTGTGTAGTACTGTTTAATACTGAGACTACAGTGAGGTCCTGTATAATACTGAGACTACTGTATAATACTGAGACTACTGTATAATACTGAGGCTACTGTGTAGTACTGTTTAATACTGAGACTACAGTGAGGTCCTGTATAATACTGAAACTACTGTATAATACTGAGGCTACTGTGCAGTACTGTTTAATATTGAGACTACAGTGAGGTCCTGTATAATACTTAGATTACTGTATAATACTGAGACTACTGTATAATACTGAGGCTACTGTGTAGTACTGTTTAATACTGAGACTACAGTGAGGTCCTGTATAATACTGAGACTACTGTATAATACTGAGACTACTGTGTAGTACTGTTTAATACTGAGACTACAGTGAGGTCCTGTATAATACTTAGATTACTGTATAATACTGAGACTACTGTATAATACTGAGCAAATAGGTCTTCAGCAACCCATGTGCTTGCCATAAAAAGGCGACTATCTTGTCGTAAGAGGCGACTAACGGGATCGGGTGGTCAGTTTCGCTGACTTGGTTGTCACATGTCATCGGTTCCCAATTACGCAGATTGATGCTCATGCTGTTGATCACTGGATTGTCTGGTCCAGACTCGATTATTTACAGACCGCAGCCATATAGCTGGAATATTGCTGAGTGCGGCGTAAAACTAAACTCACTCACTCACTCACTACTGTGCAGTACTGTTTAATACTGAGACTACTGTATAATACTGAGACTACAGTGAGGTCTTGTATAATACTAAGACTACTGTATAATACTGAGGATACTGTATAATACTAAGGCTACTGTGTAGTACTGTTTAATACTGAGACTACAGTGAGGTCTTGTATAATACTGAGACTACTGTATAATACTGAGACTACTGTATAATACTGAGGCTACTGTATAATACTGAGACTACTGTATAATACTGAGGCTACTGTGCAGTACTTTTTAATACTGAGACTACAGTGAGGTCCTGTATAATACTGAGCCTACTTTATAAGACTGAGACTACTGTATAATACTGAGACTACTGTATAATACTGAGGCTACTGTATAATACTGAGGCTACTGTGCAGTACTTTTTAATACTGAGATTACAGTGAGGTCTTGTATAATACTGAGCCTACTTTATAATACTGAGGCTACTGTATAATACTGAGGCTACTGTGTAGTACTGTTTAATACTGAGACTACAGTGAGGTCCTGTATAATACTGAGACTACTGTATAATACTGAGGCTACTGTATAATACTGAGGCTACTGTGCAGTACTGTTTAATACTGAGACTACAGTGAGGTCCTGTATAATACTGAGACTACTGTATAATACTGAGACTACTGTATAATACTGAGGCTACTGTGTAGTACTGTTTAATACTGAGACTACAGTGAGGTCCTGTATAATACTGAGACTACTGTATAATACTGAGGCTACTGTGTAGTACTGTTTAATACTGAGACTACAGTGAGGTCCTGTATAATACTGAGACTACTGTATAATACTGAGACTACTGTGTAATACTGAGGCTACTGTGCAGTACTGTTTAATACTGAGACTACTGTATAATACTGAGACTACTGTATAATACTGAGGCTACTGTGTAGTACTGTTTAATACTGAGATAACTGTGTAATACGGTTTAATATTAAGTTTACTGTCTGGTGCTATGTAAAATCGACTGTATTGTATTGTACTATGTAACACTGAAGGTTTAATTTTGAGGGTCCTGTGTCGTACTATAGAATGTCGAAGGTACTGTACAATACTGCGAGTACTATTTAGTATTGTACTCTGTAGAAGAACAGTGTGGTACTGAGAGTAATGTGTAATACTGGGGTTACTATACAGTACTCTGTGGTAGAGTGTAGTACTATGTAACACTGAGGTTCATAGTAATTATGGTGATCTACCTTCCGTTGCTGGCGATCTATAGTCCATTTTTATGTTGTAATGTCCTAAATAGTATATGATTTTAAGACATGCTAGTTTTAAGTCTCTATCTGTAGTATACCAGTTGTTTTGCTGTCCTTTGGCGACAGATTTTATAAAATAAAAATATAAACTATTTACTGTTTTGGGCATGATATTGCTGAAATATTGCCAAAGTGACTTTAAACTCTAACTCACTCACTCACTAACTCATGTAACACTTAGGCTACGTGTTTGCATTGAGTAGTATCGTGCCGTACTTTGTAACAGCATAGTACAATGTAATACTGAGCAGTCAGGTACGATATTATACCGTCAAGTACTGGGCAGTTCTTGGTATTAATGTTTGTTGATGTGTAATGTCATGTTCTACTGACTGAGTTTGGTTTTACGCCGCTTTTAGCAATATTCCAGCAACATCACGGCGGGGACACCAGAAATAAACTTCACACATTGTACCCATGTGGGGATTCGAACCCGGGTCTTCAGCGTGACGAGCCAACGCTTTAACCACTAGGCTACCCTACCGCCTCCATGTTCTACTGTCTGGGACTGGATGGTACTAGGTAGTAATATGTGATACTGTGCGACACATAGTACTACATAGTACTGCCTAGTAATGAGTGATACTGTCTGGAACAAATTTGTACTGTGTGTTATTTCTTAAACTAGTCAGTGTTGGAGGTTCTACAAGTATGACATTGTCATGTTTCAGTGACAATGTCTGCACGAGTCAAGGACGCAAGGCAGGACAGCAGCAATGCTCGTTATAACGTGGGAGTGATAGGGGAAGTCGGGCAACGGCAAGTCGAGTTTCATCAATGCCTATTTTGGTTTACCACCCAAGGAGGAATACGCAGCCAAAACTGACGTGGTGGAGTGTACACCTGAGAAACACCGATATCACCTACCCGGATCAGATGTTGCCCTATAGGATGTACCCGGATATGACACCCAAAACGTCCCATTTGGACAGGAATATCTGAAGAAGATTGACTTTGCAAGTTATGATTTCTACGTGCATGTATCATGCACGAAAATTGAAGACACTGAACTTTGTCTTCACAACGCTATCGCTAAGCAAGAGAAATGTTATTTCTACGTGAGGACGAAGATTGACCGTGAACTTAAAAATCAGAAAAAGGCCCACCCAAGAACATTCAATGCAGACAATGAGAAAAAGGCCATCCTGAAGAAGATTGGAGGCTGTTTCCCTGACGTTCCCGTCTTCTTGGTCAACTGTCTGGACCCTGACAGCCATGACTTCCCTATCCTCAGGAGTCTTATGTCAGATGGTGCTTACATGTCCCAAGCGTCTGACCGAGACACCGTCAGACGGAAGCTGTACACGACTGGTCGAGCAACGAAACCTTTCCTAGAAAGGTTCTGTGTACTGCAATAATGGACGTTCTGTACGCTGCTTCCACCTAGATGTATTGTGCACTTAAAACTATACATCCAATTGCAAGGTCCCGATGCTGTACTCGACTGGTCGAGCAACGAAATCTTTCCTAGAAAGGTTCTGTAACGCAATAATGGACGTTCTGTCACAACTCCTATATGTATTGTACACTAAAACTATACATCCAGGGTCCCGATCCTCAAGCATTCGTAACGTGCTACCTGAACAACTGTTTGTGGATAGGGAATGTTGTAGTGCTACGAACGGTTTGTGGATGGGGACCCAGGGTAATCTGAACAAGCTGAAAGCTGGTCAGCGAGGCCAGCTAGTCTGCTTTCAACTCTATTCTTAATCTGGATGTAGGTGACGGAATGCAGTTTCAGTGTTTCCCCTCGAAATAAAACATTAAATATCTGAGCTACATAACTTCCCCTTCCATTCTTTCTGAAATGCGGGGCGGTGGGGTAGCCTAATGGTTAAAGCGTTGGCTCGTCACGCCAAAGACCTGGGTTCGAATCCCCACATGGGCACAATGCGTGAAGCCCATTTCTGGTGTCCCCCGCCGTGATGTTGCTGGAATATTGCTAAAAGCGGCGTAAAACCAAACTCAGTCAGTCTTTCTGAAATGCAAAAGGAAGTCTAGATTTTGTTCAAATTCTGAATCTCACTGATCATCCTTTTGATACAGTTTCAGCCTACCATATCTGGGAACCCCAACTGTAACCTATAAGAGACAGTAGTAAGTGGTTACTTGCCGCGGTGGGGTAGCCTAGTGGTTAAAGCGGTCGCTCACGACTCTGAAGACCCGGGTTCAATTCCCCACATGGGTATAATGTGTGAAGCCCATTTCTGATGTCCCCTGCCGTGATTTTGATGGAATATTGACAAAAGCTGCGTAAAACCATAGTCACTCCACTGGTTACCTGAGCCGTTGCATCCATGTCGGTATGAGAAAATTGTTTACACGAGGCAGCATTTTCATTTTCATCGGATTGGTTGAGTTCGTTGATAGCGTTACTCATTAGGGGTGCAACAAATGTGATGTGTTACGAATATACTGTAGAGAATGAAGCAACCTCAGATGCTGTTGGTGATCTCTTACGACTAATATGGTTTACATCCGTAAGTCTATGATAAACTGAAGAGTTACGACAGGTCGTAACGGTACGATCGCTGTGTGCATCCAGACTCTGGGGCCCGTTTCACAAAGCGATAGACCGCCTCCGTAGTGTACTGGTTAGAGCGTCCGCCTAGAGAGCGGAAGGTCGCGGGTTCGATCCCCGACCGCGTCATACCAAAAGCAGTGTTCACGAATAGCGTCTGACCCTCTGACAAATCTGGCAGATTCGCCAACAGTCAGACAGTAGTGTACAACCCGCCGGCCCCAGTGTCTGACTGTATATTTCACAGTGACTTTGACAGAAGTTGTTATATGTCACATGTCACATGTGACGCTTGTTTGCTGTTTATAAATCTTATGTTTGTTAATAATTTCAATGCCAATTATAAGAAATGTTAGATCTGAAATGTGTGTTTAAATTCATTCCATGGGTCCTGTGAAGTTTCAATGGGTCAGACAGACATCTGAAACTTACAGGACCCAATGTCCTGTTACTTTGAAACACCATTCGTGAACACTGCAAAAGACGTTAAAATATGGTACTTGTTGGTCCCTGCGTGGCGTTCGGCATTAATGGGTACAACAAGGACTGGTCGACTCGGAGTCAGTATAATGTGTCTGAGTGGGGTATTCATGCTTCACTGCGGCATGGTATCGCAGTGGGCTAGCACTATCAAACCAGCTTCAGTCTGGGCTAGTACAAGCAGCCGCACATACACATACACACGCACGCACGTCGTCATATGAGCGAAATATTCTCAAGCACGACGTAAAACCCAATTTTACCTCACCTCACCTCACCCTCACCGACGATCGATAGGCACACGTCACGATAGGCTGGCGTCCTTGCATGCCTTAGCCTAATCATAGCCTATTTTTTTCCAAAGATTGGATAGCACTCTCTGATAAATGTGGCTGCTGCTGCTGTTGCTGCTGCTGCTTGTCCATGCGGATCACTTCCGGTTAAGCATACGGACTCACGTGCACACCCAGAAGTATACAACTGTCAAATGCACTGCTGTAGGACATGCAGATTGGTACTTATCCCGCCATAAATCTTGACTAAACCCCTTCACATCGGTCACGTTCCATGTCGATTTCTGAAATATTTCTACCTCTCTACTCAACACTCAGGCTCAGTTATAGTATTTATTATCATAAGTGAAATTACTAGCACGTAGTTCTTCAGCCCAGCTGTGACGTCGGTTCAGCCTCCCTGCAGAATATTTCCCAAAGGTTTTAGGACAAGTTAATGCCAAACTTTTCTGCTGACAGCGTAATTGCCTGCAGGTCATATCTGAGTGTGATGGTAGTCACGGAATAATGACATCTTGCTGCAGTCAAGAGAACCATGTTTTCCCGCTGGATGGTGGAACGCTGTCGACCACCTGCATGTCATATCTGAGTGTGATGGTAGTCACGGAATAATGACATCTTGCTGCAGTCAAGAGAACCATGTTTTCCCGCTGGATGGTGGAACGCTGTCGACCACCTGCATGTCACTGAATAGCTGATCGGAACATCTGGTATCGATTCCATGGCACCTGCTGATCACACATTGGCAGCCACAAAAATGTGTCAACCGTGTCTGTGCTCCTGCCTAATTCTCAAGTTATCAACCGTTGTCTTGGATGCGGAGGGAACATAAGTTTGTTCAGGTGTTGAAATCCATAGCATCGAGTGAGTGAGTGAGTGAGTTAGCCGCTTTTAGCAATATTACGGCAGAGGACACCAGAAATTGGCTTCACCCTTAGTATGTTGCTGTGTTCACCAATGCTGATGAAGAAGGACTAGGCCACGATACGTCCGAACTCTTGCACTCTTGCCTCAGTTCTTTCATCTTGAAACAGGGGGGCAATTTCATCATTGTGTTCAATTTGTATTTTGGGACGGTTATGTAGCCTCATGGTTAAAGCGTCGGCTCGTCAGGTTGAAGACCCGGGTTCGAACCCCCACAAGTGTACAATGCGTGAAGCCCATGTCTGGTGTACCCCGCGGTGAGATTTTTGGAATATTGCTGACAGCGGCGTAAAACCATACTCACTCACTCAATCAATCTGTATTTGTTGGTTGATTTTTTCAAAACCTGATCCTTTGCAATCTTTGAGTATGATATACTGTTTTTTTCAAATATTTGAGACAGCTTTAACGTTATTTGTTTCAGTGAACAGAATATCACACCTGTGAATGGAATCCAACCCAACGACCACCCACAGAAATATTTTCTCCTAGGGGAACCGCGACGGTTAACATACTGACACCAATCCAACTGTTGGGCCAACAGGAGATTGCAGGGATCTGTCACGTGACCTGGCAGTAGGCTGCACTTGTGAATGTAAGTTGAGGCTGTGACACCAGTGTGTATTAACGACCTTGGAAGATCACATGTTACAGGCGCATGCTACCGCCTTGACTGCACGTTGTAGGAGACGACTAACGAGATCGGGTGGTCAGGCTCGCTGACTTGGTTGAGACATGTCCTCGTATCCAAATTTAGTGATGCCCATGCTGTTGATCACTGGATTGTGTGGTCCAGACACGATTATTTACAGACCGCCGCCATGCAGCTGGAATATTGCTAAATGTGGCGTTAAAAACAATCAAGCAAGCAAGACGTGGTCGAATGTGTATTAAAATGTTATTGCAGACATCAAAGCATCCCACAGCAAATAAACGTGTAATTTTGCGAGAGATTATTCAGCTGCCATAACACTTGTGAATGGAAGGAAAACACAGTTGCTTTCAAATTATAACGAATCATAAAGTGTAAATATATAACTATTTTTTTGTGTTGGTAACAAAAGGCAAGATTGCTAACAGAGGTACAGGTAAGCTGTGTATCTGCGTAAATTACGCAAATATTTAAGAAAACTCAATTCCTGTTTAGTCGATTGCGTACAAGTACGCTTGAATTTTTGTAAATACTCAATAAATCTGATCTTACATGCGTAAAAACAAAATTGATAAAATAACTGAGGGATATTGAGAGGTTTTATTTCAGCACTTGAACTTGGCAACGTGCAGTCTTTCTCATCGTTTCTCATATTACAGATCCAACATAAATAAGAAACACGTAAACCAACATATATAAACTTTATTATATTTTTACAACTTGTGGAAAATGGCAAAATACCCAATTGAGTTTGAATGAGGAGAGAGAGAGTCTTTATTTCCTCCAGTAGTTACCGACGATTACAAACAAAAACATCATATTATTACAACACGTACATGAATATTAACAATTGGATGTTTAGAGAAATATGTACAGAAATTTATGACATGAAGAGAATCATTCTGTATAACAGTTCACAAGGTGAGGTTTCAGGTCATATACATACAAAGAAAAGCGTAACAGTATGGTTTCCCATAGTGTTGAATCTAAAGAGTTATAAAAGTCGTTTTCTGCTCCGAAGAGAAATGACAACATATCTTGTTCACCTTGCATTTCAAATATTACGTAAGTTTCAACATCAAGTTTATCAATTAAGTATGCAAAGAAATCATTTCGTTGTTCTATTAGGTTTTCACAGTGAAGGAACATATGGCAGTCGTAGTCAAATGTTTGTTTATTACAAAGAGCACACTCTTTTGCGATTTTACCTCTTGATAATATTTTGACGCAAAATTGCAAGGAAGATTTATAATTAGGGGTTTTATATGCCAGTTGCCAGAGAGTATGATAAGAGAGTGTTGTATGAGTTGTTGCGTAAAATGACATGTTTGAACGATAGAGAGTTTGTGATCGCCATAATTGTTCTTCATAACTATGTACAGTAGCATTTACAATTCTTCTCCATACCCGTTTTGGAGGGAATATGCCTTGCGCAATATAATTGTCAACATATGTACTTAGATTTTACTTTTCAGATATTGATAAAAGATCATCACAGATGTTGTAAGATTTTACTGAAGTTGTAATAGCAGCACAAAAGATATGTTTTGCAAAGTTGTTACACTCAGTGTTACATAGTCGCCCAAGAAATAGTAGTTTACATTTATCGATTTACCCAGTTAGTGACCCAAAATGTTATCTGTAGCTCCCTTTGCTATTTTACAGATGGATGACAATTCATTCGAAGACATAACTCAGGATGAGATTGACGAAATCCGCCGCCACGTTGATGAACATGGTTTGAGCGGCTTACCAAGTGTAATCCAAGACAAAATGAGGGAGTGGCAGAATGTTCCATTATCTATCGCGGTTGTTGGCGAGTCCGGTGTGGGAAAGTCAACCTTCATCAACAGCATCCGTGGTCTGACAGCAGATGATGAAGGAAGTGCGGAAGTAGGGATAGGAGACACGACACAGGAACCAACCATGTATCGTCATCCGTACAATGAAAAACTGGTGTTCTGGGATCTACCCGGAGTCGGAACACCCAGGTTCCCCCAAGACAAGTCGTACCTTGGACGGGTTGGGTACTCACAATACGACTTCTTCCTCCTGCTGTCCGATGACAGATTCACATCGAAAGACATCTGGTTGGCACGGGAGATAGAGTCTTTGAAAAAAGATTACTTCTTCATCAGGACAAAGATTGATGATGCCATGGAAAATGCTGAGCACAGCGAACAAAACTTTTCAGAATCTAATATTCTCGAGCGAATAAAAAAGAATTGCCATGACAATTTTACAGCTGGGCAGTTGAAGAAGAGGCCAGTGTACTGCATAGACAGCTATGACAAACACAAGTGGGACTACACAAAGCTAATGGAAGACATATTAGTTTCACTACCTGAACAAAAGAGGAATGCACTTGTGCTGTCACTGTCTCCCCTCACGAAAGGCGTCATCAAGTCAAAGACCGTGGTACTAAAGATACGGGCGAAAAAGGTGGCACTGATATCTGGAATCCAGGGAGCAGGTACCTCACTTGTACCAATTCCCCTTCTCGGAGGTGCTGTAAGCATAATGCTGGATACTGCTCTTCTGGTTGAAGAGGTGATTTTCTACTTGAAGCAGTATGGACTGGATGATGAATCATTACAGGAACTTTCTTCCAGGACAAATACAACTGTGGACTATTTCAGAGATGCTCTAAAAGGCGGGTCCGCCATCATGGCTTCCCGTCAGTCTGTCAAAACATTCGTAGTAAATATGATCAAATCTGAGGCAGCAGAGGAAGCTGTCAAGCGCATTCCCATTGAACTGGCTCGTTTTTTACCATTTGTAAGTGCTCTTGTCGGCGGAATCGCCAATTTTGCAACAGCCTACTACATGTTGATTAAGATGATCGATGACTTGGAAAAAGACGCTATGAAAATCACTGATGCAGTAATAAAGGCCACCAGCTCTTGTGTAGACTAGCTGAATGTGGTTCCTCGTTGTACTAAGTTAAATAAACACATACAGTCACAGTCCTTGTGTCAATCTTGTATGTATAATGCATAAAAGGATGTCGTTCTTCACCCGGCTGAAAAGCGATCAACATGGTCTTTTCACCATCTGTTTTCAGAGCAGAGTGAGTGAGTTTAGTCTTACCCCGCACTCAGCAATATTCCAGCTATATTGCGGCGGTCTGTAAATTGTCGAGTCTAGACCACACTGTCTAGTCTCTAGTTACCAACAGCATGAACATCGATCTACGCAACTGAGATAGGGTAACAAGTGTCAACCAAATCAGCGAGCCTTATCACCCGATCCCGTTAGGCACGGCGGGGGACACAAGAAATGGGCTTCACACATTGTACCCATGTGGGCAATCGAACCCGGGTCTTCGTCGTGACGAGCGAATGCTTTAACCACTAGACTACATCGCCGGCCCGGAGAAGCCTGGAAAATATCCATATGACAGGTCACATAGGCAAGTCAATATATTCTGATTTTTAAGGATTTTATAAAGGGTATCTTTGTTCTTTGATCGTGTCGCAGAAAGTGGACAAATCGCTATTACGACAGAGTCTCCTACATGCATTTTATCTTTAAGTATCGGTATGCATACTGATGAAACGATAGAGTAGCACTCATGAAATAACATGAAAGCAAATATGTTATGGACGTCAACTTCTTTACCTGGAGGAACACGACGTTTTGGAGTATATACTTAATCCTTCATCTCTAACTGAATAAGTTGACAACCATAGAATTCTTGCCTTTATTTATACCCCACTTCCGGTCTCGTTGCCATGGTTTCCATTGTTAAAAGTGTAGGTGTATTGACCGGTACACCTTTCAAAAGTGTAGGTGTATCAATGATACACCTACACTTTTTCACTAGGGTTTACCGAAGCAATAAACACAGAACAAACGGCGAAATATAATTTTATTTCAATGGACTCACATTGAGATTTCGATTGTTTCAAAATCGTCCTTATCATCCAGGTCGAAATGTGACGCTAACGAACTGTCAATTTGAGAAAGAAAATCCTCTGTCCACTCTTCAGCATCCATGGCGAACGAACGTGTGATCTTCCAAATGTTTTCTATGCCAGTCAGAGAACGCATGCGCATTGGTCTGCCCATACAAATGTCAATTATCAGTAATATTGCGCATATTTGGGGCTACTTGAAGTCATTCTCGCGCCCGAACTGGTGTTTAAAATCATGTGAAATCGTGCAAGTCCGTGCATGCACGTGCAATCGACTGCTTATAGTCTGTTTGCAGTGAAAACGTACCGATGAATATCACTTTAAAAAAGTAAATCAAATAAAGTGAAACTAAGATTGCAAATCCCCATAATTTTACCTTGCCTATTGAACATTTAAATCTCAGAATTATATTCAGCTTAGATAAAGTTGTTTAACAAACGATTATAGTTTCAAAGCGCTGTTATTGGTTTGTATTACAATGGGGTATGCGCATTAAATGAAACACCCAGAACATGCAGGTTTGGTAGAAGTTAACGCTTGTTACGTACCGCACGGGCATTTGTTTCACTGTTCCAACTACTGCGCTTACCCCCCTAAAATTGTAATACAAACCAATAATATTGATTTGAAACTATGATCATTTGTTAAACAAATTTTATTCTAAGTTGAATATAATTCTGAGATGTTCATTTGGCAAGGTCAAATTATGAGATTCGCAATCTTAATTTCACTTATTTGAGTACTTTTTTGTTTAAAGTGAAATTGATCGGTAGGTTTCACTGCAAACAGACTATAGACGCGGGAAATTTGAGGGTCTTAACCAGTGGGCTAAAAATAAATGAAACAGATGGAAAAGAAATAATTTTTTTGGTCATAATTAGAACCTAAAGTGTTATAATAAACTCGTAACTCGACCAGAAGTGAGGTATAAGTCAGATGTACCCACACTTCCTCGGTGTGTCGCCCAATACCCCTACTGTTTGAGTCGTGTGGTCTCCTCGGCTAACGCCTCGGAGGCCACAGGACTCAAACAGTAGGGGTATTGAGCGGCACACCTCGGAAAGTGTGGGTATATCTAATACGTGTATCCCTTCTAAATGCTGTTCAAAAATGTAAATGAGATGACAATATTTATTTAATCAGATGACTGTATCATAGCATTCAGCTTAAAACTGTTCATGGAAGCATTATACATAGTTATACATACACAGGTTTCATGAACTTTTACACTTAAAAATCATATTCATTGTGTTTTCAAACATTCGGCCTTTTTTAGTACCTTTCGGATAGGATACTGAATCTGTATGAAAGTCAATTGGCACATACTTACGTGCGCGGATTTTACGAATGTACGTATGTACTTTTATTGGGACAGGGACGATGGGGTAGCCTAGTGGTTAAAGTGTTCGCTCGTCACTCCGAAGGCCCGAATCGATTCCCCACGTGGCTAAAACGCGTGAAGCCCATTTCTGGTGTCGCCCGCCGTGAAATTGCTGGACTATTGCTAATAGCGTCGTAAAACCATTCTCAGACTGTCAGTCAGTAGTGGGGCGGTGGGGTAGCCTAGTGGTTAAAGCGTTGGCTCATCACGCCAAAAGACCCGGGTTCGAATCCCCACATGGGTACAATGTGTGAAGCCCATTTCTGGTGTCCCCCGCTGTGATGTTGCTGGAATATTGTTAAAAGCGGCGTAAAACCGAACTCAGTCAGTCAGTCAGTCAGTAGGACCCCGCATCTCTATAAAGTTAACATCACATTTCATCTGCGTCTACGTAATTTTGTCCCATTGCACCACTTGGTGTCATTACTCCGCCTTGAAAAACATCTTGCTGACATGGAAGTAGCATCATTGCAATTTCATTACCTCAGGTTCCTGATTCACAAAGCGTTCGTAACGTTACGACCTGTCGCAACACAATAGTTTACCATAGGCTTACGGAAGTCGTAGCGCTACAAACGTTCTGTGGATATGGACCCAGCTTTCTTTGGATTGTCATCTTTGAAAGATGATTTATGCCTTCCATGGACCTTCTTGTTGGGTTCAAAGATGACACTTAGAAAGCCTAAACGCGCCTTACGAAGTCACGATTCTAGGGTACATCTAGAAATAAGATAAAACAGGTAGTGCATTTATTTTCAATGTTAACGTTCGACTTAATGTTCAGCGGTTACAGTAGCTCCATAGACAGTAGGTTGTGTTGTGGCGTGGTAGTGTGCACGGTGGATCTAAGTTTTATGCCGCTTTTTGCAATATTCCAGCAATATCACGGCGGGGGACACAAAAAAATGGTCTTCACACATTGCACCCATGTGGGGAATCGAACCCGGGTATTCGGCGTGACGAGCGAACGATTTAACCACTGGGCTACCCGACCGCCCCAGTATCTAAGTAGCTTATGGTCTAATTGGTATGAATATGTTTCTTGACAGTAATCTTGAGTTTCACAACGAGTGCAACGAACGTTTTATGAAGATTATATTTTATTCGTAAAAAATGGATTATTCAAAACAAATACATATAATACAAGTACCATCTCTGAAAGCTCTCTCACATCACGGGCAAAATCTGTAGTCCCGTTAGTCGTCCCCATTGTGATTTATTGATTGATATCATTAATCACCACGAGAAAAGAATTAAATTACCTTATGTGACAGTTTTCTGTCTCTTTTCTGTTTTCGTTTCATACAATTACATGAGTAATTCGGAAATACACATTTTATTTGAAAAAATATATGATCCAAAATAATAAACACAAATCGAATAATGTCTAGGAGAATACAGCTAGCAGCAGTGGTAGCCGTCCATGTATGGATGTCGACACTGTACCAACTTTAGACGCCCATGCCGCAGCTGCGAATTCCGGTCTGAAAGAGAATATTGAACATTTAGCTGTGATGTCAAGTTGGTAGGGTCTATCAAAATCTATGTCTTGATATGTTAGGGAACACCCGAAAACACTCGTCTGTACATGAGGGACGTAGGTATTGTGCTGGTGCGTGGTCCTGTGCGCTGAGCTCAGGTCGCAGTCAGTTGAAGTTAAGCAACGGAGAGTCCTTGGATGGGTGACCGTGTTTGGCGACCTGACTCCTGAGAGTTTATAGAACTTCAGTACTGCCCCACAACGAAGCACAAGTGATACTTGTGGTCTCTCCTTAGGCAAGTGAGTTTGTTCAAAATTGCCTGTGTTCACCCAGCAGAAAATGGGTACCCGGTGGGGTAAGTCATGTGACTATAACTTTCTAGCGCCTAACAGGCAGCTTGGGTTATCCGGGGTAATAATAATCAGATTCTGATTATAGCGTCTATTGAGCAACTAGTCAGATGGATACTAGGCGCTGTATAAATGAATTATTATTAGTATAGTAGTACCAGTTCAGTTAGTGATTGAGCGAGTGAGATGTGTTTTACGCCGCTTTATCTATTTTACACCAATACCACGGCGTGGGTACTAGAAATTAGTTTCACACATTGTGTCAAGTAGGGACTCGAACCCTGGCCTTTAACCCGGCGGCTTTAACCACAAGGCTACCCCACCACATTAAAGGAATGGGTGTGTGAGCGTCCACCGCTATGTTTCCAGTGCATCAGACACACCATATATACTCAACCAAAAAAGTTAAGGACACCCCCATATTCAATATTTAAGTATTATATGGATCATAATATTAACCTTTATTTCTATAATCGCTTCTCATAATTATGATATTTTGCATAACACTTTAATCTTTTTGTTTAAAGCACAACAAATAAGGCAAAGTAATATATAATATATTCATATCATACATTTGCACTTTTTTATGCTATGGAATGTATGTAAATATGTATTATGCGCAGGGATATTTTGTAACCCTACATTGTCTGTATTTTGGGCCAAAGGCCTTATATTGAATAAATCTGTCTGTCCGTCTGTCTGTCTGTAATATATGAACCATTAAATACTTTAATATTGAACATTGGTTTGGTCCTTAACTTTTTGTTGAGTATATATGGCAAACCGTGGGTGAAAAAAAAGAAAATCAGATGAAAACGAAACATGACTTGATTGGG